TGAATAATGTAATAATAATAATAATAATAATAATAATAATAATAATAATAATAATAATAATAATAATAGAATGTTTCCCCTCTCTACCTCTGCATACTGTTCTGAAGATCGTACGAGAGGTGTAATCCCTTCTAGAGCGAACGCTGCAGTTTCTGTTCCTCGCATACCGTCCTCGAGTTCCATTGATAACAACTCTCTTCCTGGAAGTGCTATCGTCGGTCTCCACTTCGTCTTTTCAGCGACTCTCGGAGCTATCTCAGAGACACAGCGTTTCTCGACTGTGCACCTGTCACCGGAACTCTGGCACCGGAAATGCGAAGCTAGAGTTTTCGTAATTTCCCATAATGCTTCGCGTCTGAGTGGCAGTTAAGGTGTTGTCGGCAAACTGTAGAAACACTACATGCGCACTTTTCTTCCTCAAATGGCAGTTACAGTACTGTGTACCATCTAGCAATTTTGGTTTGACATGGTAATAATTAATAAATTTATATCAGTTTAAAACCTTACGAATTTTAACTACCAATATTGAAAGGTCATTCATTTTAATTTCCAATCATTTTATTTAATAACTCTCTGGAATTGTTCTCGCATATTTTTACAAGATAAAGGCATCTGTCCACTTTCGATTTCTTTTAGCTCTGTATGTATGTTTTAAGTAAAAAGACACAAAAAAAGTTTGTGATTTGGGGAAAGACAAAGAAACAAGATGTAATGATTTTCTTTAGATCGTTATTTTGTGTGAAACAATGCCATTTTAGTTCATTTGAGTACTTCCGTTCAAATCTTAATCTTTATTGTATTAAATTCGTTAACTTGCCTGACATTCTGCTAAGAAAAATAGTTTCTTGATGATTCGTATGCGTTTCAACATTTTTACGTTACGTACATTACGTTACGTTACGTTATGTTAAGTACGACAGTTTCGTTTGCATTACGTTTCGTGTTACGACAGTTACAAAAAAACATATCTTGCAATACTTATTAACAAGACATTCTTCGAGGCTCTTGGTAACGCTTATTGTATAATCCGTCATTATTATTACGTGCATGGTTCCCATGTTTCGAAAGAAGCGAAAATTTTAAAACACGTATGTATTAAAACTTAGTTTTTGCGAATTTTAATGTACCGCTGCCCTTGACAGATTCGGTCGTCAGTCATTTGTCTTTCCTCTCGTGTGTGTGTGTGTGTGTGTGTGTGTGTGTGTTTACGAATGCCTTCGTTGGTGTGTATGGACCTGCGTGTTTGTATGTACAAGAAAGTTTACGTGTATTCTTTACAAGCGAAAATTTACGAGCATCGCGTCACATGTTGCAGACGAAATAATAGCGGAGAGCTCGTTGTAGGATCTTTTGCGAACATCACTGACCTTTATGCTCCAAACGTTCCTTTTTGTAATGGATTATATTCGAAAAATTTTTCAGCGCTCTCAAAATTGCCCTTTTTTAGTCGTACGGCCGTTTAAAAATGGGTGATGTTCTGGAGCAAAAGAATTTGTTTGTAATATCTGTAGTAGATAGTCCAATAGACGTCACCGGTTTTGGTGAGTGTTCGTAACACTTGGGGCATTTGTTTAGAACTTCGAAGGAGGTAGAGATCTTCCAGTGTAGGTGACTATACACCCGGTCGTGTCTTTTCAAATATTCGGTTTTTGCTAAAATTGGTCAAGCTGCGCCGATATGATCAATGGTATCTATTTGTTCCTAGCATGTATCATCTTGGGAAATTGTGAGAACCGCTTTGTAATCGTAATGTCGTGTTCTCAACGCCTGATCTTAGGCAGCTTTTACAAATGCTTCCTATTCTGGCTTCATTATTTCGCTTTTAAGCCGATTGAATGATTGATCTTCGTTGATCTGCACTTGGTCCATTCTTTTTAAATATTGTCCATGGAGTGGTTTGTTTCTCCGCGATTTCAACATTTTTTGACTCATTAATTTTCATTATCGTTATTATTATCATCAGGTGCGGATACACGAGGAGGAAAATGAGGGAAATTGCCCACCCTAAACATTTGTCAGTAACTATTAATTTTTATTTGTCACGAAACGTTCAAGCAAAATTATTTTCGGATCGTCATTAAAACGAATAAAATAGTATTGCAACATGAGTTAGTGTTGCGACATGTTACAAAATCTATAGTATGATACCTTCGAACAAAACATTTTGAATTTACACAACCAAAATTCGTCTCTGGATCCACACCTGTTATTTTTGTTATAGTTCTTTTTGTTATAGTTCTTTTTGTTATAGTTATTTTTGTTATTATCATTGTTGTTGTTATCGTTATTATCGTTATTGTTATCGTTGTTGTCGTTATCGTTATCGTTATTGTTATCGTTGTTATCGTTACTGTTGTTATCGTTGTTAACGTTATTATCGTTATTATCGTTGTTAACGTTATTATCGTTGTTAACGTTATTATCGTTGTTAACGTTATTATCGTTATTATCGTTGTTAACGTTATTATCGTTATTATCGTTGTTATTATTGTTGTTATCGTTATTATCGTTATTATTGTTGTTATCGTTATTATTGTTATTATTGTTGTTATCGTTATTATCGTTATTATCGTTGTTATTATTGTTGTTATCGTTATTATTATTATTATTATTATTATTATTATTATTATTATTATTGTTATCGTTATTATTGTTATTGTTGTTGTTATTGCTATTGTTATTAGTGTGTGTGTTGTAGTAATGGTGGGTGTTGTGCGTTGCAGACGAGATGCTGGCGGCGGACGGGGCGTCGCTGCGCGCGCGCGTGGCGGACCTGGAGCGGCGCGCGCTGGCGCAGGGCGACGAGATCCTCTGCCTGCGCGCCACCCTCGCCGACGTGCTGCGCCGCCTGGCGCTCTGCGAGCAGGCGCACGCCGGCCCCGCGCACTCGCCCGCGCACCACCAGGTCGGCTCAGCTCGCCCTCTCCCGCACGCGCACACGCGCGCGCACCAACTCTCCTCTCTCTCGCACCCTCCTCCCCTCGCGCACCCTCCTCCCCTCGCGCACCCTCCTCCCCTCGCGCACCCTCTTCCCCTCGCGCACCCTCTTCCCCTCGCGCACCCTCTTCCCCTCGCGCACCCTCCTCCTCTCACGCACCCTCCTCCCCTCTCGCACCCTCCTCCCCTCTCACGCACCCTCCTCCCCTCTCACGCACCCTCCTCCCCTCTCACGCACCCTCCTCCTCCTCCTCTCTCTCTCTCTCTCTCTCTCTCTCCCCCTCTTACCCTCCACCTCCTCTCTCTTTCTTACGCACTGGTACATACTAACTAGGCTTCATTAATAACTACTCCACTTCATATTTCAAAATATACCTTTCAGTTAAACAAATTATGAATACTGAAATCGTCATTAGGCCAATACAAAGTAAATGACGGACGAAGTTCAACCAAGTTAATATCAAGTTATAACGAACGGAGGTTTACATCCAACTGAGTCTGTTATTTGTTGAAGGCGTGTTTCGGTCAATATTGTTTTCAACATCACCTTCTTATAAGAACCATTGATATAAACAGGAAATATGAACTTGGCTTTGGAAACAAGTACAGCTCATACGCCATCTTTTACTTATTATTTTACTTTTCATGACTTCTGACTGACAGTAAGAGTGTATTACGCAATTGTTCGTATCGCTTATTGCGTTGTTTATTTATTATTATTTTGAAAACGAGCGATGTTAGTAGCGGGTTTTCACATTTACAAATGCAATGGTGCAACTTATGTATGAGTTTATGCAATGCAAATTATATATGAGTTGCATACGCAATTGCTTTTATAACAGCGTTAGCATAAATTTATAATAAAACAAAAATTAATTTTGGAAATCAATTTCAAAATAAATTTTTAAGCTGGCAACGTAAGATTTTTGTATTATATCATGTTATGCAGGGGCACAGGCAGTCAGGAAGGGCGATGATAACGGGCTGTGTTTTAAAACGCCATTTGTGCAATAAAAGGCTCTTTTAAGAACGGTTTCAACGAAAGTAACGAAAAAGGTCGTACAAGAGAATGCTGGTTAGCAAAAATGTATTGCACAGTAGATAATAGTTACAAAAAGTAATTCTACAAAATTGAAGGTGATTCGTAGCATAATAACAATTCCTCTTCATTACGTACACTACTACATTATTTACGTTTTCAAAAAAAAAGATTTATTTCTTATACTTTTCTGCAGATTTCTGAGTAATTAATTATAAATAAATATATTGTAAATTGTTGTAATTCTTTATTTGATTATTTCTGTATTACAGCATCCCGAAGCATTGCGCATACTTACTTTGTCACACTAAGTTCTTCGTGTCGTTTTAATTGTTTTGTACTGAAAGGAGGTTAAATGCTCCGGTGAGGAACTCAATTTATTAAGTCGTTATTACTTGTAGTACATCGAAAGGAAGAGCAGTTCGCTGTATTAAATTAACAAGAATGATTAGCGACACCAGCTGAGGAGCACCAATTGACACTATTACTTATACTCACCTTTCAACTACTTATAGTTAAAATGATGGGAAGGGATTCTTGAACTCAAGAAAACGTGCGCACATGATCTTCTCCCCCATACGTCACGTACAGTTTCTGGTGTTACTTATTTATTGTCTAAATAACTCTACTGTAGTGCCCCTGACCGAGAAGTCAAAGCTTGAGACCCCATGTATCTTTATATATTTTGGAATGTTTTCGGCCATTTTTTTATACATACTGATTTTTGACATGGTTTAAGGGGTTTCCCTGATGTTTCGAGAGGCAACCTATTAAGGGTAGATTCGAATGTTTCTTTAAGTTTTCGTCCTAATTCGTCCGTTACATTGCAGGTTTTAGTACACAATGCTCAATTTACAACTCCTTAATACTTTTGGTAAAACTTAAGATTTTTTGCGTATTTTATTCAACATTTACTTGTTTTATTTAATGTAGTTTCGTGGTGTATAAAGTTTCACGTCAAAACGCGAAATATAATATGAAAAATATGAATGTTTGTATTTTATGCGCTGTTCACCCGATTACGAATAAACTTTGTCAACTTATTGCTTGCACTTGCGCGAAGAATAAAGGCACAGTACAATGGGAATATGTGTATGTCACACGTAGACACAAAATGGAGATGTTTTTATGCGTTTGTGCAGACTCAGGCGCCCCTAAACAGAAGCTCTACGCAACCCGCCGCACCCTCAAGTATTAAGCGCGTTTGCGCTGCATAATCTACCCCTGCGATGGTGATACATCGGCCGGAATTATTACTTAAACTTTCAAGGGGGACGTTTTAACATTAGGATACTTGGCAGCCAGGACCAAATTAGGACACAGAACGAACCCATACTCGCGAAAATGTCTTTCATCTATTACACTATTTGCAGAGTGTGGTGTAAAACATGACTAACAATCACGTGACTAGTAACGTGCTAAGTGTAAAGCATTAGCGCTGCGTTGCCGGGTCCAGTAGTAAGTAATGAAAGTTTATTAGGAATAGAGGAATGAATGTGTGTGTGTGTGTGTTTGTGTTGCAGGGTCGGCCGTCGCCGCAGCACTACGCCGGAGGCATCCCGGTGCGCAACGGGGCGGGCGCCGCGGGCTCCCCATCGCACGCCGCCCACGCAGCCGCCCTCACCGCCTCCCCCAGCAGACAGGGTGAGCACGGCTCTCCGGCCCCCGTCCTCCCTCTCTCGCTTCCTCCCTTACTCTCTCCCTCTCTCTCGCACTCCCTCTCTCGCACTCCCTCTCCCGCACTCCCTCTCCCGCACTCCCTCTCCCGCACTCCCTCTCCCGCAATCTCCTCTCCGCAACTCCCTCTCACCGCACGTCTCATCCGCACTCCTCTCCGCATCCCTCCCGCATCCCGTCTCCCCACTCCGCCTCTCCCGCACTCCTCTCTCCGCACTCCCTCTCCCGCACTCCCTCCTCCCGCACTCCCTCTCCGCGCTACTCCCTCTCCGACTCCTCCTCTCCCGCACTCCTTCCCGCACTCCTCTCTCCCGCATCCTCTCTCCGCACTCTCCCGCACTCCCTCTCCCGCATCCCCTCTCCCACTCCTCTCCGCACTCCCTCTCCGCACCCCTTCGGCACCCTCATCCGCATCCCTATCCGCACTCCTTCTCCGGCACTCTCCTCATCCGCACTCCCTCTCCCGGCACTGCTTCCGCAATCCTCCCTCTCCGGCCACTCCTCTGCAGGCACTCCTCTCCGCAGCTCCTCTTCACCGCACTGCGCCTCTCCGCAGCTCCTCTCCCGCACTCCCTCTCCCCCTCTCCCGCACTCTCTCCCCCTCTCCCGCACTCCCTCTCCCGCTGTCGCACTCCCTCTCCCCACTAACCTTTTTGCTCACTCGTCTCTCATGTCCCTCTTCTTTTTACCGATTTCTCTTTCGCTCTCTTTTTTTTGTCCTTCCCGAATTTTTTGTTCCCTCCTTTCTATTGTCTGTGTCTCCTCTACCCAGTCTTTTCCTCCCTCCATTCTTTCTCTTTCTTTTCCATTCTCTCTTCTCTCCTTCTATCCTCTTTCATTTTTTTCTCTCTCCCCTCTCATTATTTTCTCTTCTCTTGCGTCTTTAATTAATTTCTCTCTTCATTCCCTCTTCCTTCCTGCGTCCTTCATATCTTCTTTTTTTATGTCTCTCACAATCTTTCTTTCTTTGATGATTTATTCCTTCCTCAACAAGTCATTTTTCTCACACTTTCTGATTACCTTCTCTGACCGTCTTTAACTCTATTGTTGTTCTTTCGTGTTGTATTGTTTATTGTATTATAATTATAAAACGTTTTCAAAAAGAAAATTTGATTAAAACATTTTCCTTTTTTAACTAGGTATGAGCAACCACATAACAAGTCCTCAGAAAGAGTCTCCCAGTCTGCGCCTCAGGCAGCCTGCCTATTCCGGCAGCCCAGAAGCCAAGGATCCCTTAAGGAGAGCATCAAGTTACGCACCATCATCCTTGTCGCAGAGGTATGTGTGTAACCAGTCTTTCAAGATCTGTAACCGCTGGCATGAATTGAATTACATATATTTGCAAATTCACCACTCTCATTTACAAAGTTATCAAGAAATGGCACTAGACTGCATTTAGTTGGTAAAAATTTTAGGATGCTAGATAAAAATACCAGAATGCATTTTTAATTATGTTGTGATGGAAGTTTGTTTTTACAAAGGTATTGGTGTTAATTAAAACACAATATTTAATTACTCTGTCAAATAGGCAGTTCAGGAGTGCTATTTTGATTTCATTTGTAAATTTCAAGTACTTTTAGATGGAATTTGTGCTTCTATCTTTATTGTTTGTGCTTCTAAGAAAGTTATTTGTAATGCTTTGCATTAAGAGTTTGTTTATTGATTTTCATATTGGTAATGAGTTAAGCAATATTCATATTACTGTTTTTTATATTATTGCATGTATTGCATTGTCGAGAACTTAAGTGCATTTTTTTATTTTCAATTTTTGAAATAGTAAAAGACTTTATTCTAAATGATTCTGCTATGTTTTGTGATATGCATGAGCATTAAAAATTTCATTTTTGATGTGTTTTGATAAATTCCTGCAAAGATTAAAGGAAATTCTTCAGTGAAAGTACAAAAGAAAATGCTCAATTACAAATACACTCATTTTATATTAGCAACAAGGGAACAATATTCAATTTTTTGTTGTAATATTGTTTTTGCCCAGCTTTTTATATTAAAAGTTTATAAGCCTTATAAGCTTCGCACAAAATTACCACTCTGTCACTTCACATCTATTTATCACATCAAAATATTTTAAACATTACAAAGATTATAATTTTCTTTTAACACTTCACAACTTTATCCATCTTTCAGCACACCTGTTGATTTGAGAGAAAATTTAGAATTCCCTGTAACTGTGTTCAGTTCTAGATCGTATATATCTATTGTTATTGTAAAAAGTATATATGGAAAACTATAAAATTGTCTCTTATGCTGAATTACAACTAAACAATACAGTTTTTCTCTGTTTGAGGTAAATTTTAATGTTCATTAAATGTGAATCGGGTAAATGAAAATTCAGAATATCATTAATATTCACTAGTAAATTAGTAACTCTAAGCTATAATATATGCATCTATGACTGGAGCACAATTATTTCTTCATTTCTTTAGATTAGTTGTTTTTTATTTCCATTTTGCCAGCATAACAGATTATTGAAATAAGTTTTGTGCGAGCCCATATTTGTTTCTGTTATCTTGTTTAGTTACTTTATTTTACCTACTGTGTTTAGTCATTTACATTCATTTTTTTATGATTTTTTACATTTTTACTGAAGAATGAATTCATTTATAACACAGAAGAATCTTTCTAGAACTACCTAGTTGTTGTTATTGGAATACATTCTAGTTTTGGAATTTGAAATTTGCATTTGTTGTAAACTTGGATTTTAAGGTAAATATTGATGTAATTCAATCACAGTATTCATGTATATAAAGAACAATTAATTAAATCAGGCTTGAGATTTATTACTAATGAAATAACCCACATTAATGGATCTCAGAAATCATTTTAAAATGAAACAATTCCAGAAAAGCATATTTGTAAACATGCGTATCTCATCTTTCATTGTCTTACTTCTTTAATTTTTAAAATAAAAAATTTAGATAAAGATGCAACAAATAACTACCAAAATTGGGCCAAATATTGGCTTAACTTGCTTGGTAACAATTTAGATTTTCAGCATTTCATAAGACAACTATATATTTTTTGTTCGTATTGTGTATTTTGTTTTATACCTTTCTCTAATTGTTTTATACATTTGTTTAATTTAGTTATTATATTTGATTGTTCTTGTTTATTTGTGGTCTATGCACCTTCTCTCAAACACACAACGAACCCGCATCTTTCAGACGCGTCGTCCACTACCAGTCTACAGGATCCCTCCACTCAGACAGCCAGAGTTCAAACAGCGTGTCCCCTGTCCCCACATCTCCTTCGCCCACCCACACCCCCCCTGCCCGAGCCTCCCCAGCACCTCGTTCCACCTCCCAAGGCCACATGACAGTAAGACAACAGCAGCTGCAGCAATATCAAATGCAGCAACAACAACAACAGCTGCTTCTGCAGCAGCATCAGCAACAACAGCAACAGCAACAGCAACAGCAGAAGGCAGCATCAACCACCAACTTGCACACTGCCAAGAGGTGGAGCTCGACGGGTGATTTCAACAATGTTGGCATTATTTCTTCTCCAACGGGAAGCTCAACTTCTCTTGCCGCGCGGTGAGTTTAAATGTTTAGCCCTTGGTCGCTGCCTTGTCTTGCTGCGTGCTCTAATTGTGCTTTTCATGTGTTTGATGGATGTAACAAGTTTTTGCTAAGCAGATACCACTTTGACATAGACCAGTTGAGAGTGAATCCAGACCATTTTAAAGGAGTAGTCCTTGGCTGAAATTACTGACATGCCTTAAAGAACTGTAATGTACAAAAAATTTGCGGGAGAAAAATGTTTGTTAAATATATATGACTGATCAATAATAAAGTATTTCAAATTACAATTTATTTTCATAAGTTGGCTTCTGGTCACATATTTTTGTTTTCTATCATTTACATTTTTTTTCAAGTTCTTAAGAAAGATAAAAATAAATTTACTTACAAAATTCTGCAAAAATTTTAATGATGAAACGTACCGTTAAATTTTTATGTATAACTTTATCTGCCAAATTATTAATTTTCACAATTACCGTAACTTATGTGAAAATAAATATTTTTTACTTACCACAGTATTTTTGAACTAACAATTTAAAAAATAAATGAATGCTAAAATGTTTAGTCAGACCAACTGAATTCTAGATTAATTCAAAGAATAGTGCAAATAGCTTTAAAAATTTCTAATCAATGAATAAGTCATATCTCCCACTTCTATGGATTCGCTCTTGAGTTAACAAACTTTACACAAAAGTTTTCATTCTGTAATGCACAATCCTTTAAAAAGTTCAAAGTTCAGATCTTTAAAAACAAATATATATAACATACTAATTGCTGAATTCAGTATCCTAAGTGTGAAGTTCATTCTATTTTCTGCTATATGTACTAAGTTACTTGATCATATTCCAGTAACATTAATATAAATCATTCACATTTAAAAACACACAACCCTTTTGATGTAGTACACAAATGAAATGAAATTTAATGTAAACAACATAAAAAGTCCAAAATGCAATATTATAAAATATTTAGAAATGATATTAAAAACACAAACATAAAACAGATTTAGCTTTTATATTGAACTCTGCCTTAAATTTAAATATTTTAGATTTCAATATGCCACTAGTACACTTATTAAATTCTATGTCTACAGGCAATAAATAATTTTTTCAAAATTTGTTAAAAATTGTATAGCATTTGATATAAGATGGCAACGAAGAAAATACTTTCTTATTACGTATATTGATTTATATTCAGTAGAGAAGAAGCATTTATTTCTTTTGAAAAAACAATAAATTTTATTTGGATTTCTGAATTATGAAACAATGATATTCTTACAAGAAGTTAATTTTTGCAAGAGTTCAAAAACTTCTGAACACTTATCTAATATAAATAAGATAAAGCTTCTATTTCCCTCTCAAATACTCCATTGTGATTATCAAATTTCCAATAATATCTATTAATTTATCAGATATCTTTCTATCATCCATCCAACAAAAGTGTTTATTGTTATTTTTTGTAAAGATAATTATGGAGTGTTTAAAATTTGGAAATTTTATAGCCATTGTAAAAATTTGAGCTTAATGGTAGTTTGTAATTTCTTGAAAATTCTTTCATTTATTCTTGATTTTTCTAACATGGAAACTTCATCTTATTTCTTGATTTTTCATGTGCAAGAACTTCCTCTAAGTAAATTTTAGGCTCCATTTTAGGCTGGCCATTAAAAACTTCTACCAGCTAATTTTCAATACTTCAATTTAATTGTCATAACAATATTGCAGATACTCCTTGAATGACTTGTTTTACTGTTGTAAATGTCTTCAGATTTAAAAAAAAAGTCTTACTGGTCCACTGTTGCCAGAACACTCAGCAACAGTACTTATGACTTAAGGAATCTTTTAAACTATGACTAACATTTCCCTGCCTCTTGTGTCACGGTACACAGCTTCATCATCTCTCACTCAAACTCCTGTGTTTGCACTCTTTTTCTCGACCTTGAACACTCCTACAATACTTCACAAGACACGATAGTAAATCAAATATTGGCATCCATGCCTTTTTGGCTTGCTTGGCATTGCAAAATAGCTACTATACCATCTGTCCATAACACATCCATGTACCAGTCATGTTGAGAGTTTCGGAGAGACAGGAGTGTGCTCTGCTTCTGGTAGTTGCTGACCGAATTAATCAGCAAAATGCCTATTTCGTGAGTACAATTGAAGCTTTTGAATATTGAACACTTTATTTTTTATAAATGCAATACTTAAAGATATTTTTTAACGCTGCAAATGCTTACGGACAAATTGTAGTTTCATTACTTTGCGAAAGGGCATTTAGTAATGTTTCAAATATTGTTCTTAGAAAATTTGATTTCACAAACAAATGCTGATTGAAAATAATTTATTTTCTTATTGCATTTATTGAATGTTTATAATTTCTGTGCTTTGTTTTTGTTTAAAATTAGATCATTATTTCAGTAAATCTTTTAAAAATTTTTAAATTTTTAGCCACTTCTAAATATGACTTACAATTTTTCGTATTGATACTTCAGAATCTATTGATAAAAATGAAGAGAAAACATTAAAAAGCTTAGAAGTGTCATTGTTTTAGGTATTCCCATTCATATAATCCTTCTCCCTTCTAATCCATTACAAAAGAACACTAATTCAGAGTATGACTGCAAGAAAAATGTATTACCTGAAAATATTTTATGTTGGTGTTAAATGATAAATTACAACACTACTCTGCTGCTCATTAGAGTATTGTCAATGTTTCCAAATACAAACTAAATTTTATATTTGATTCTTCTTTCCAGAAGACACTGCATCCAAGGCAGAGTGGCCAACATTTCGGTTGTCGTACTGTGACCTTTCTCAGGGTGAAATGCCACGATCAGCTTACCATTTTGCCCTTCAGATTCTTGCAGTACGACAGCTGAAATGTTGCCAACTGTGCTCAGGTTACAGCGTCTCCTGAGTATCCAAGAATCTATTGAATCCAGCCACAGAAGCCTATGCTTTCATTTGAATGATATATTATTTACAGTACAATGTTATACACATACACATTTATTTTAATCCTCATAGACACTATTTATTTACCCATGTAAATAAATATATAAAACCAGGAATAAGAAACCTCATATATTTGTTACACAACAAATATTTGCTGTTTGTGTCATGAGGTATTTCTGTATGATCCAAGGAATCTTCAAAAACACAAGAAATGTGTATTGATACAAAAAAGTAAATTTATAATATGTTTTAAAAACTTTTTTTAAGTTCATAATGCTTATCTGGATCTTGCTTTTGGATGTATAGCATTTTAAATCTCTTAAGTAATTTGCATTTAAATGAATCATTAATAGCTATTACTAGTATAGTTTTAAATAGTCTTTAATTGAAACAAATTAAAAAGAGCAAAAAAGTTACTCCTTTGCATCATGATTTGTGTATATTTTCTGTTGCTTGTCCGTGGAGGGTGTGTTCTCTCGGTGGCAAAGTTTGCCCCTCCCTTGCACGACATTTGCTTGCTGCATGAGACTGGATGTTCCTTCTGTGTTTTAGCCTGGCAACGAAGTCACTGTTCAATCTGTATATGAAGCCAGCACCCCAGCAGCCTCAGCTGAAGCATGGGTATGCATCTTGTTTACCTTTTGATATCATCTATGCAGGTTGTTCTCTGAAAAAAGTTATGGAATTTATTCTTCTGATAGCCACATCATTTATCACTCTGAAGGTTAGTTTGTTCCATTGCATTCACATGCCATGAATTGCTGATGTTAATGGTTGTAATGAAAGATAGAAAGATGTCAATCAAAGTTTGAAATTCTTAAATGTCATTTATCACTAGTCTAAGATCTTTATGTATGAATAAAAGTATGACCAAGGAATCCATAGTATTAATATTGTATCCTATGTTACACTCACAAGATCTCAAAGCTTTTGTTACTCTGATTTAAAATATTCACCTTTCAACACACACGTTCACCCTTCTCTGCATTTTCACTTTTCCCTCCAAATCATCTATTAGGGATCGTCCGTAATGCAAATTTTCATTTTAAATGCATCATCTACTCCCTGTAATGCATCTGAAGCACTCACTTGAACCCCTCCTAAATAATTATATAATATTTGCCACCCCCTTCCTACTAATTGCAAAAAGAAACAAAAAAAACATAACAATGAAAACAATTTGTATATTTTGTATAAGGAAAAAATATTTTTACAATTGACTTAAGAACTTATTTTCAAATATATTTTGTTCAACAAACCCTTTTGACACATGAATTTGACACTAATAACACAATAAAATTAATACAAATTGTTTTCATTGTTATGTTTTGTTTTGTTTTTTCCTTTTTGCAAATAGTTGGAAGGGTGTGTGTGTGTGGCAAGTGTTACATAAATATTTAGGAAGGGGTTCAAGTGGATGTTACAGGTGCATTACGGGGAGTAGAGGAGGTATTCAAAATGTTCCAATTTGCATTAGATAATTTATGGATGATCCCTAATGGTTGATTTGGGGGAAAGATGAAAATGTAGAGAACAGTGGGTATGTGAGTTGTGTGGAGTTAAATGACAGGTTATAAGCGACCAAAGAAGAACATCTATTGATATCAGTGAAATCGTTAAGTCTGGAGTTTTAAAAAGGAGTTTGTTGCTGACACTGGCACATAATTTATACATATATGTAATAATCTACAAGAAAAAAATACTTTGAATTAGTTTATAGGGTTAGCTTTTACAGAAATAAGAACAAAATATTTGTGAAAATTTAAAACTTTTCTAGTTTTTAAGTATAGGCAAGAATTGTTCAGATATTTTATCTGGCCTCACTTTCAATCTGCTTTGAAACAGACACAATCAAAATTGTATTAGTAAAAGTCGATAAAAGTAACTGTATATTATGTATGGGGATAAATTCAACTTGTGAATGTTTCTTTAACATCTAGAATCCTCACCTTGTCTCCTTTTTACTATAAATTGTTAAAGTTATTAATAAATGTAGCTTAATTATTTTTGGCAGCGTTTGATACCAGAAAATATTCATTTACACAAAATAAAACTGATTATAATTTGCAAACAAGGTACTGATTTAATTTGATAGGATTGCTGAAGGATAACTAAATCACTCACCCTGTATCTTACAAAAAACAAAGCTCAAGAAAACTTACAACGATGTTTGAAGAACAAAAATTATCAAAGAATCAGGGTTTGATGAAAATTTATATCACTCACCTGAAAATAGTAGTTTCAGAAATTATAATTACTGAAGATTATATTTTCGAGAAAATAAATGTTAACATTTTTAATTAAAATTATCATATTCTAAAATAAAAGAAGCAGTTTTGTCAAACCTGAAAATAGGTTTTTTGTTGTGAATGTAACATTAACGTGATGTGATATACACATAATACATATCAGTATGTGTTGTATGTACTCATTGAAATAAAAACAAAAACAGAAATGAAATCAAGAAAAGATGTTAAATATATGATGACATGAATAATTTTAAAGGAAGTAGTTTGATTTTCACTTTATTACATGAATAAAAAATGAACACATGAGGCACATTACATATATTATTTTCAGTTGAGAGTTTCAAGTTTATAATAACTTGTACAAGAAATCCTCAAACTGTGTAATTAAAGCTTTAATGGTGGATGTGGTATTATTTGTGGTATTTGTTTCTTGTAAATGGAACAATGTGCTTTGAAAAAGAACAACTTGCAAAGATGATTATATCGTATTTTCAAACTGTTTTTAATCATGAAAAGTTTTTTGAGATTATGTGTGATTTTGCATGAAAGCAAGTTTCCATGCTGTTGTATATTTCCTGCATATTCTCATGTTAAATTAAGGCCTAGAAGAAGAGGGAAAGGTAATGGTGTTGATGTTATGTGTAAGTAGCTGTAAATTTTCATTTAATCTTGATGTTGTGTTGGTGATTGTTCACATACATTTCACACTAAAAAGAGAAGTTGTAAAATGTAATATCATGATTACTTCTGTTCTTTAAGTGGTTATTTGAGGATTGTGTCTTTTAATTATTTTTTATTTTTTTAATTTAAAAGAATTCCAAACATTATTGGATTTTAATATGGTCAAACTTCCAGTGTTATTAGATTTGTTGATTGATGTTGTTTGGCAACCATGGTTGTTTTGTGTGTTTTGTATTCCCTTCTTATTTCATTTTCTTATGTGCTTATGTGTTATTCTCCCCACACCTGAGAAGTTGAGGTACTTAGAAACACATCCATCATTTTAGAAGGTCTATCGTGTATGTTAGTAAGTCAGATGGATTACCTCATACGTCATCGGGGATAGCTTTCTGTTTTAGAGAGCGTATGAATATGGCGTGTGTGTGTGCTCGTCAAGATGTTTTCATATGCATAATTGTCAAAGACAGAAAAGTATTATTTCGTACCGAAGTATTAGTGCATTTCACGGTAAATTTAATTAATTGAAATGAAACTACCAATGTACGCTCACATCTTCGGAAATTCAGGTGTGATTGAAGTGCTACTTGACGAGATAAAAAGGCAAAAAAATAATGGAGAATTACCCCAGAAATACAGTATATGCTCAGTGCTAGTTAAAATTCGTGTTGCGAAAATAAAGATTGAAAAAAAACAAAACTACATCGTCAGTATCCATTTACTTGTTTCATGTCCGCACTTCGGATTTCGTTACCATACGGGTTTTCTTGGGCGGCTTCGGCAAATAACGCTTTTCCATCAGAAGGAACTAACTTAGCGTAGGAAACGGCAGTCTACCATTGCGCATGCGCAGTTGCTCAAAAGTTGTATAGAGTGGTGGAGATACTCCTGTTGGTTGGCGGACACTAGTGCTTAAAGTAGGGACTAAATAAAACATCAACTACCAGTACAGGCTAGCCGAAACACGAAGTTTAACGTCCGAACACATTAGTGTTTGTGAGGTCTAAGCAAGGTTTCGCGGGTTCTCTGCTACAGGGAGTGAAAACGTGACAGTTTCTGTGCTAGATTTTTGAGAAATGACCGTATGCGCAGGAGAATGAGCCAACCGCTGAAGCTTTTAAGGCTCATAAGGATTCATTTATTTGCTTATTCATTTATGACTCATTGATTCATTACTTCGTGTTCCCTAACGCGTTAATTGATAAGGTCGTTAGTCCCGTAAGTTTAGTACACGTTTTGTCACGGGAGGTGGTGATCTTCCTCAATTGGATAGTGAGAACCGCCGCCGATCTTCACGTCAGCTAGCAGAGTTTTTCCGCAACCAGGTATCTCCTTCCAGCGGGGCGGCACTGCCCAAGCTCTAAGCTCCCCAGCGGTCTCCCGGCATGTGTGGCAGTGAAGTGCACATTAGTGTAAGGGGTTTGGATAGGACAAGAAAGAGGAAGGAAATATAGTGCGCGGTCCGTAGCCCGTTTGTTACGGTATTGATCCGGCATTCGCCTGGTGTTGACTGGAGAAAACACGGTAAACTACCCATCAGAGCCACTGCCCGCCTATTCTCCAGACAGCGCCTGAATTCGACGTTGATATCTAGCTAGTGTCGAGAACCCTGCCACCGTCGAGACTTGAACCGTGGACCTCCCGGTCAGATATGCTGCAGGGACACCAGCATTGCTGGCTCTGAACTAAACTCAGCCAGTGAAAGGAATCGAATCGCCTAATAAATTGTCTCCGCTGTGGTATATCCTGATCTAGAAAGCTTCAGTCGTGTTAGGTTGCTCAGGGCATCATCTGATGTGACTATAGTACATGTGACTAGGAAATCCTGGGGTTACAGGCCGGGCGGTGGCAAGATTTTAGACACTAGCTTGATAGCTAGGTCGAATTCAGTCGCTCTCTGGAGGAGTATCCTAAGAGTCAGCTGCTCTGATCGGTATAGTTTCCCGTGGTTTCTTAGATCAACTCCAGACGAATGCTCTACCAAACGGCCCACGGACCGCACGCGATCTTTCCTTCCTCTTTTTTGTTCTACCGTCACCCAGTATTTACACGCTTGCATTTACATGCACTAGATTATCACCCATGTTGGACGACCGGTCGGGAGCTAAAAGTTTGCCCCGACTGGGGGGGACTGCCCACAGGTGGGAGGTTGTGGTCAACCCAGCTAGCCGTGAAGATCATGTAGTGTAGATCAGCTCCAGATATCGCTATCCATCCGGGGAATATCACCGCCAATGACGCCCCCGGGATACACCAATCAATCAAACAATCAAATATAGGAAGCGTCAGTTTGCGTTGTCTCCATTGAGAATACAAACGCACCGGAAAGATGATAGATGATGAATGATGGCACCGGGGTGTGCTGTGGCATCTGTGTATCATAGTGAAGTTGTCGAGTGATACGTCATTGCATAGCGACCTTGTGGCTGCGAACCAGGGAATTAGATACCGCGATAAGAACGAAGCTTTGCGGTCACCAGGAGGAAGGCAGAGCAGAGAGACCCAGAATTGTTTCCGTCGTTTACAGCCAGTGTGAAGGCCAGACGTTTATAATCTGTACGAATATAGTATTTGAGACGAACAACTTAAAAACTAGACATTGAAACAATAGTTTGGTGTTTCTACAAAATAAATATTTTGATTTTCTGTTTCCGACTAAAAATGTTGGTTTAAATTTTATTTTAGCTGAAACGT